CAAAGAACTCGTCGCTGCCTACGAGAAACATCTCCAACAACAAAAGTGTATACTTCAGAACCAGAACCTCAGCCCCAACCAGGAACTTCTTCGCAAGAAATGATCGAAGAATTCCCTTTCTTTACTCCAAACCCCTACCAAGTGCTTCAAAATGACCGAGAGGTAATGGAATCTGCAACTATACCCACAGAACCAAGGCCTCCTCCGACATTTGTGAAAAATATCAACAATTTCCAGTTGTTCTGCACCCAACTAAATAAAATCTGCTCAGTTATTCATTCCTGCAATTATTCGTGCCTTTAAATTAAATAATGTTAGTTTTCTGAAATTATTATTTATATTTTTTTCGTCACTCTCCGTTACCTTCTACAACTTTATTTATTTGATATTATTTTTTCTCGGTTACTAATCAGAAGTTATCGGCTTTCCAATGATATATTATACGTATACCTTCTGGCTATTATTTCTGGAGATTCATTTTCGACCTAGATAAGCATTTTTATTTTTTTTTTCCTTTATTCAATTATCAAATTCTTTCAAAAGTTATATATAGTGTTTTTTCCGTAACTTTTAATAATGAGAGATAGTTAATTATTTTAAATAAATCATATTAAAGGTACTTTAGAGGAAGACGCATATGAACATTGAGCATTTAAGCCCAGTAAAGTGACATCAACGGGGATATGACCTAAATGATATTAAAGATCACTTAATTATACAATGATACACTGAGTTTAATGAAAATCGTTAGAGCCGTTTTTGAGAAAATTGTAAAAATGTGTTTCATCGTTGATATAAAGTGGCACTTTCGGTAAGCCGATTTTAAGGAAAAAGTTGCTGTAACATCTAAGCCATATACCTATCTTAAATATGTAATATCATTTTTGAGTTTTGAGCTAGACTGTTCACATATACACACAGACCATTTTGAGGGAATCGGTTGCTTGGACTTAAGGTACCTCAAAACGTGTATTTCCGTTAAAAACTGAGATTCGAAAATGTTTACAATCGCAATACTTTTCCTTAATATATAAGTGAGAGTAAACAAATACAGTGTCTAAAAAAAATTATAATCCATAGGCGAGAGGTCCGGAGACTAGGGCGGATATGAAGTTTCATATCCAAGCTCCAACAGCGACGTCACACGTGAGACATGTGGCCGGGCATTGTCATGCTATAAAATGGGATCCTTCCGATTGACCAAATATGGCTTCATTATTGCCAATTTCTGATGCATTTCATTCACTTCATTACAATACGATTCGTCATTGAAGGTTTCTCCAGGATTTAAGAAGATGTATCAAACCAAATGTAACTCACCAAACAGTAACCATAACCATCATTTTTGATGAATTGTAGGCTATGGAAAATGTTCTGCTGCTTCTCCTTAGCCGAACCATTGTCCAGAACGTCTACTGTTATCGTAAAGTATCCACTTTTCATCACAAGTAACAATTCTGAATAGAAAAGGGTAGTTTTGGTTTCGATAAGGAAATGTATAACAAACTTCATAACGCTGAGTTTTTTGGCGGTCGTTTAATGTGTGTGGAATGTAACTTTCAAGCTTTTTTACCTTTCCATTCGCCTTGAGGTGGTCATCGACGGTTGATTTGCTAAGGTTAAGTTTCCTGCAAGTTCTCGAATAGTTGTTCTGGTGTTTTCTTCCACCTAAGCCCGCATAACATCATCATCATCAAGAGAGGAAGTCCTTCCACGACCTTCTTTGTCTTCAAGGCTGAAGTCTCCTACCGAAATTTTTCGAAGCACCGTTGAACAGTGCACTCATTAATGTTGCCCTTGCCCCAGACTTGATTAATGTTTCTCGCCGTTTGGGCTTCATTCCGGCCGAGTTTAAACTCGTACAACAAAATTATACGAAAATCACGCGTTGCTATTAAGATATTAATAAGATACTAAGGTAAAGATTGAATTATTTCTAACCAGCGAAATGCTACAGATATAAACAAACATTATCTTATCGTTTGGAAGAGGATTAATAAGTGTTGTCATTCATACAAATGAATAATCCAGTAAAGGTAAACAGTTTGTTATATAGAGGGGTATTTTACAGACTCTAGCAGAGAGCCCCAAACAGAACCAGACGGAGCTGAATGATATAAAAGTAGAGTATTGCTTCTGAAATAAATAACTTTTAGTTCATTTAACTTTAAAAGAATAAAATAATTTAATAAACCGATTAGTTTAAAAAAACGTAGTACTATTTATTTTATTTTTTTAATCTAGCCCTTCGAATTAATGTATGAAAAACGTCAAATAGTTTAGAGTAGTTTGTATTCTATTTAATAGAAGAGTTAAGATATAAGAAAATAAAAATTGAATAGCTCAAAGCAAAAAATGGCTTGAAGCGAATGATGGATGTTTCCACTACATTTTTGGATTAACGCATGTTGTTATATAACGTAGGTAGGATAGGGGTTTTAGGGCGATAAATTGCAGGTTTAATATGTTGGTGGTTAGATGAATATTCTAATCCAAAATTGAGGAGTTTTTCCCTTGGTTGATAAAAATAGATAATTATTGAAAAAAATAAGCGTCACAACATGCAAATATGTCACTTAACTATTCCATTTTATCATACCTTTTATATTTTGCAGCTTTGGCGAAGACCTGTAAGGTGTGTCGAAACGTCGGCTTAACAATTAAAAATACAATTTTTGAAAAATTTAGTATTCATTTGACCGCACCCCCCGACCAACTCCTCATAAAATAAATGCAGTTGGAACCTTTTCAAACCAAGGCCACGACTTTAAACAAAGGGACTGCCATTATTATCTAAACATAACTAAAATACTTTTGCTTCCTCACTAAAGAAGGTAGGGAAGCTTTGTATTCGTGCGGGAGGTTAAAAAAAAATTGTATGCTTAGAATCGAAAAATTCCACTCGCGTTTTACGTTTCAGACATCAAGGATCAAATTTGGTTCGGTGTCTGTCTGTAGTTAAATAGATGTACCGAGCATATCACCAACTACATTTATCCGATTTTCATGAAATTTTCTGGAACGATAGCGAAGAAAACCACTGGATAGAGAGCAGTGGCGAAAAATAGTGGAGGAGGCCCAGGCCGTTGTAGGGCCGTAGCGCCATGGGGTAGGTAAGTAGGTATAATTAAAGGGTAGGATATAGCCATCCGTAAGTTTAAATGTGTATACCCCTTAATTTCCTGTATTTGTTAACATCGTTCATATTCTTATAATTCTTGTTGAATTACTTTTGTTCTAACTGATGAAAAATGTCGCTGAGTTTGGTGAAGAAGCTATACGAATCTTTCTTGGCAGACGTTTTTAATATTCCTGCCTCTCCATTTTTGCCATGAGGGAGGAGGTTGTTCCACAGGTACAACCAAACCTATTCTATCCAGTGAGGGAAGTTTGAGATTCATTTCGTGGATTTGCCACAAAATAAATTTCAACCCGTCCGGATTCGAATCAACGTCACTAGACTCGAAAATGTTAAAGTTTATGTTTTTAACATGTTTGACCATCACAACCTCGATTATTGAAACACCAATCTATACAATAGCTGAAAATACAAGCAATTACCGTAACATAGCACACAATATTAGCAGAGTTATATTGCTCCTTCCCTCAGAACTTGCTGAAACCTACCATGGTTTGTAATTTCTTTGAAAAATTAGGAAATGGCTGGGGGTAGCTATAATTTTAAGTCACAGTTGGGGTCGAGATTATGCTCTCCACCAGACAAATATCTCCAGTCTGCTCTCCATATGCTTTTATTAAACACCATATCTTCCATACTAATTTTTTTCATTATTAAAGGTCTACAGACCTACCTCATACAATAAGATATAGCTCCAATCTATGCTCTGATCATTTTCTCGTACATTTGGTCAGTTTTGTACATTTTTTTCAGTTCCTCTATCATTAAAAACAGAAAATGGAATAGAAGATGTTGTTGAAGCCTTAACAACCAGTATTTATAATTTTTTGTTTTAAATATTGGATCTATTAATACATTTGTCATGTATTAAAGTGAGTACTGAGAAGTATCGATACTTTCATTGTGATTTTTGTGTAGTATAAGAAAACTGTAATAATTATTCTACATTTTTAAATATTTAAATAATACTTAAATAAGAAATAAAAATATTATGAATACTTACAAACAATCGTTAAGACCCAAAACTATCAGTTTGAGGTATCGATAACTCATTTGTGTCGGACAATCCTAATAATAGACACTTTCATTTTGTTTTAAATTAATTAATAGTATTTAAATGAGAGATGGAATTAATTCAGCACTCAGAAGTTTCAAAGCTTACGTTTACACACTGACCTTACCACTCCTTCCATCACGGCAACTGCCACAGACCGCTTTAATAATTTTCATGACAGACTGACTAAATTTAAATCCACTTACTCAAGCTCTATCTACTGCCACAAATCCGTATAATCCGCCCAGAAGACTACTAAGGCGCTTGCCAAAAGACTTATTAAGTAGGCATTGTGCTACTTGCTGTATTATCTTTTTTTTGTGTTATCTTATTTTCATTTTACTCCTTTTTTTTTATTTTATTTTTTTTTTTATTTTTATTTTTTTTTTTGTGCTGTCATTTATTCTACTTGATATCATATTTGCTGAATACCGAAGCAGATGGCAAATTTATTGAGTGCCAGGAATATGTGTAACTAATAAATAAATTAATAACTCAGAAGTATTGTAATTTCCGGACTGATATTTGTTAGAAATCTAAAATTACGTTACTATCTCATTTATGTAATATGAAATATAAAGTGAGATATTATAGTGTTCCTATTATTCAACTATTTTTCAATACTTCTATTACAGAAAGTTCGTAAGATAAATTAATAACTAGAATAATTAAAGACAGAAAAAAAAAAAACTTAAACTTTCAAACAGAAAAACAACAACATTGACATATACAATATGATATCCAATACATAAAATAATCTGAGTAACGTGACATACGATTATATTAAGGAAAGAAAAAAATAATTACCTTAGATGTGAAACTACTAGGGTCCATGTATCCGGGAGTTCCCAGCACTGAGCTGTCATCGGCATCCTATAAATTTATAAAAATTATTTTCTTAAATCGAGTTATTTAGAAAATGAAATTTGAAATTATGATAATACAGTGTATTGTAATAGCACTTTTGGTGAGATTAATGAAATCATTAATTAAGATAATATCGGGCCGTTCTCGATAAACGTAAACATGAGAGAAAAGAATAGATACACTGGGAAGAATGCATTTGCTAATATTTTGTATCATACGTTGTAGATAGTAGATTCACTCGTGTAGGATCGAGAATACAAGTAATAATTTTTGGCAATATTATTAATGCACTACCACAACACAGGGACACTTATTAAAAACTGGAAATTATATCCTGGATTCAGGTTTAGATCTCATTTCAATCTCTAATTAATCTAAGTTGGTTAATTAAAGTTAAACACAAAAGATACTAGCCCTAATCAGTAATTGGTTCTCAATACCCAACGAATTTGTAAATGTTACACTGCATAATTTTACCCCGATACTTAGAATTTTAAAATCTGAAATTAAAAACGTGTAGCAATTTGTTTAATTAATATTGTTTAACTAATTAATATAAATTAACTCTAATTATTATAATATAACTAGATGGTCTCTGCGAATAATTTGCTTAATATATTAGCGAACAAATGATAAAATAATAAGGAAATAAGTTAATGAAATCATATGATGGAGGGATCTATTCCGATTTATTCGGTAATTTCAATTGACCAAGGAAAATAAAATAAATTTAAAACCATACATGTTTTAAACCAACTTTACAATATCCTTTGTTTTTGTTTTGTATGGAATTCAGCAACTTGTCAAAGCAATAATAAGTTCTCAAGATTTTCTCCTAAATCAATTCATTTACAACCGTTGGGAAACTGAATTATTCCTCTTTAAAACCACATCAATAACTTTTATATAAGACATCTTTATAAAAAATAAATAAAAAAATATATATTTTTTTGTTAGTTTTTATTTTATATCTCTAGTTCTAATTGTTTACGAGGGATCTGGTTTGTGTCATTTCGTGTAGTTTAAGTGGCCCTAAATTCCTGCTATTTTTCGTGTTGATTGGTGGAGTCATGTTAAAGTTATCACACACTCTGTTCCAATGTTTCAAATAATCATGAGTTCAGTCAAAGGTGAAATGTATAGTTTTTGACTTATTCGAAAAAAAAGGTATTTTATATACTTAGTTTAACTCGTTTTTAATGATTTTATTAAAAACAAATTCGATTTATTTTTTAAGACAATATTGTCTAGTTTTATCGCATCTGATTTAACACAAACCTGACATCCCTAAATATATATAATTAAATCTAATTATATATAATAACATATAATATATTAAATATAATTAAATCTAACCTTTTAGAAATTGGACCAATCTCAAATACGAGAAAATTTATCTGAGGCTATTTTTATAATTACTCCTTCCTCCCATAAGTTTCGAGAATGATTTCCGTTACACTCTATATATAATATCGAAAACTGAAATAAAAAAAAACATAAAAAATAATATTTCAAAACGTGGACAATCGGAATCCACATAGAGAGCTGTTGTTGATTACGGTATTACTAGCTGATTACTATTAATAATACTTATTCATGTATTATGGCAATGAACAACATAAAAAAATACTATAGTAAAGCGTAGTACAATGTCACGACAATTTGTTCTAGTTTCTGCTTTAACGTCAGATATGAGATATCATTATTATTTTTCATGAGAGTTATTCTTTTTGTAAAATTATTTTATAAAAAATAACATTATTTAAAAATATTTTATGAACGTATCTACTATTTTCGTATATGGTAATTCCACGAAACAATAAGAAACATCTATTAACTTCAATATATTTGTATTAACTTGAAGATGATTTTTAAGTTTGTTAATACTAGTAAATTACGGAACAAGCCAGAACTAGTCTATTATTGCCTAGTTTAGTATTGATATGCAAAATAGGTCTTTACTCAATTATCCCAAACTAACCTATGCAGAGTCTGCATAAAGATAAATGACCTTCCAATTGAACGCTATGAAAAAACAAATACTATTTTCATTAAAATGAGAACATTTAAGATGAAGAAAGATAAATCAACTGAAGGTCATATTGTTTTTTCACACAACAGAAAAAAATATTTTGTTTTTAGTTAATGATAACAACCATTTTCGTTTATTAATTATTTCTTGTTTGGAGTGTAAAATACCTTGTCATTAACTTACTCAAAGAAAATTGACCGATGTATTTTTTTTTTTTTCATTAAGTATCCGATGTATGTATGAATGAGTAAGAATTTGGAATTTCAATTCCAACAGGGGGAAAATGAAGTTCCTATATATTATCCCAGTCAAATTAGCACAGAAAATGGGTATACCTTGCAAAAGATCGCATAATTCTAATTTCTTCTTTATGTTGTTAGGTATGACGTGACCATAAAAATTCCAAGTTACTGCCCTTGAAAACCTCGTGGGTTCGCTGCAATGCTCCAAAAACCATTAAAATTTCCAATTTTTGGTTTACGCTAACTATCTCCTTTTCAAAGCAACATCGATAGAAAATGGAAAAATAGAAAATAAATTCAATCTTATACAGCTTAAAATTATCTCACATTTTTGTACATCATTTTTTTTTTGTAAACCCAACAGGATGTGAACTGTCGGGCTTTCAAAATGGGTTAAGTTTTGAAAAAAAAAATACAATTAAATTGTTATATTAATATTTGTTCATTAATACAATAAAATATTAATACAATCATTGTAGCACTATAACTATGTCATTGAATGAGTACTTAATGATGTGGCAGAGGATTCTAGAGGCCTATGCCCGTGCCGCTTTTCCGCCGATTAAGTGTATTTTCTAAGTATCTGCTTCAAATATTTTAAAAAGTAACTTGTTTTTTTTTTTTTGAGAAAGAGAAATGTATTCTCCAGATGTTATATTTTAGGACGTTTTTCGTTATATTTGGCTGTGTATTTACAAACGACTCCTGATTTCCAAATTTAGTTTGAACGACTTGAAAACTTGACTTTACTGGTGTTTTTTTATTGCCAAGGCCTACTTTTTTAAAAATATGTTTCCGTTATTGACCAGCTTTAATAAAAGGCCAATTATGGCGAAATTAAGCCAAATGCCGAATCTTAGTGACCGAAAAACTAATTCAAGTCAAAGACTTCAATCTGCTATGTTTGAACGGCGTTTTGGGACTGAGCGGCCACTTCATTATATGGAAACATTTTTTTTATTACAAACAGTTACAAGGAACACAACTACATGCAACATATTGGACTATGGAGGGAGGGTACACGGTGGAGGGGAGGGGATCTGGCCCACCGTGTATTATACTTTTCAAAACACTTCCCGACTACCGTCTTCCATTTCAATCAATGGCTCATTATCTTCAAGGAAAACCTACAAATTCTCTGAACGAGGTTCAAAATAGAGTTATAGAATTTTTCCGTTCAAAACTGAAAGAGCACTATTGTGAAGAAATCGAAATGGATAAATTTTGAAAAGAAGATAGTTTGCTTCCTGTTGGGATTAGAAAACAATGTTATGTACAATTATGTTAAATAATTTCAAGATGTTTAACATTGAATATAACCATTTTTTATCTGTGTCGCTATAAAAAGTAGATATTAAGCGTAAACAACAAAAAAGGTGGAAATTTCAATGGTTTTTAGAGCATTGCAGCGAACCCACAAGGCTTTTATGGGCGGAAATTTGGATTTTTATAGAATTTTTTTTTTTTGCCATTTATGTATTCCAAGAAATTGAATCATCTAATTACCTAATATGTTTATATGCTCAAAAGGAGGCATTTGTAAACATACGATAATGAACGTTATAATTAATGTTTTCATTAGAGGATAAAAAAAAAAATTAAATTGATTTGGAATTTATGAGAGCAGGAAATTGAAGGAAACAAGCGAAAACTTTTCTCACGTCTTTTATGAAAGATGAAGTTATTACCTTATTTTTGAAAATCTCTATCGGGCATGTCATTCCGTTTATAAAAAAGTTATGAGCTTCAAAGAGTTGTCGAGAATGTTATCCTTTTTATGAATAAACTGAACAAGCATTTTCCAATGAGCAACGACAACTGAGATCTTTGGGTAGACCAATGTTTTAAAAAATTCAATGACTTTCAAGCCACAGGAAATTCTACTGAAGGAAATTTTGGAAGGAAAAGGCTAGAGCCACAATATAAAAATTGCCCCGTAAGTAAAGCGATTTTTTTTTGTTTGTAACAGGAAGTAAAAAATAAACTAATAGAAACTGAAAAAGTATTTAATTATAAGGTAATCGACAATTGCGTCACATTAAACTAGATTTATAACTAGATTAAACAAAATTTACTTAAAATGAAAATAGAGTTTGTCGTTTTTAAAACTAAAAAAAACCGGAAACTAAAAAAAAAAACATCAATTATTCGCGATTTTGATTAATACCCTCAAACTATACAACAGATATCTCACTATTAGAAAAACTTCCTTGTTTAATAAGCTTTATGTCCATATTAATTAAGGTGAGGTTTATAACTTGAGATTCACCCTAAGGTGTGTAAAAAAAAAAAGTGGTTTGCCACCTACAAATCAAGTACCTGTATTTCAGAAAAAATGACTATAATAAATTATTAAAATTATAATTATAATTATTAAAAATAAATGTATAAAGACACTTTTTATTTATAAAAAAAATATATATACATGTTAAAAATAATGGTTTTTCAAATATTTATCATCTAAATTGATAATGAAACTGTACTTTCTACCCAGACCTCTATTATAGGAATTGATCCGTACTTATATGTGACTAACTTAATGCTCCCAATGAGGTCTACCATCATATCTTCAAATATTTTCCTTTACTTATGAAACGCCCTCTATACAAGCTTAGAAAAAAAAAAAAACTAAGCCCATGCAAGGTAACTCCCTTTTTCATGTTAACTCAATTAAAAAAGGATTTTATACTTTAACTCATTGAAATCTCAGGTCCTTCAGGTCCCTTGTTGTG